AGTCCTGCTGTGTAAAATATTGGGCTTTGGTCCATTTCAACCTTAAACTCCGTATACACTGAGTGTATACTAATGTATCCGAGTGTATTCTCACGAGTCCAATCCCTATAAGTACTTTTTTTCTTTTGTCTAAATTAAATTTTTTGACTTTTGAAAAATAAAAAATGTAACGTAAATTGGCCAGGAGAGTAATAAACTCGGAGAAAATTGAAAAAGAAAACATATTGTAGATTTTTTTTATTCATAAACCTCAATTCGACACCCTTCGTCGGTGGCCGCCGGAGTGGAGACGTCATACTAAGGGGGGTTGGCGAAAAATATTTATTATTTATACATGGTTAAAATTATTTGAGTTTTTGGCCAAAAGCATCCTTTAACTATACTCTCAACTTAAACTACATCCTTCAAGTATCAGTCTTAGCAGTAAACATCCTTTAAGTATTAAAAGTGACCAATTTTCATCCTTATGTTAAATTTCGTCAAAAAAAAATAAAGGAATCCTACAAAAACATGAGCATTCACGTGACTATCAATAAAAGTTTTCCTGCATAATTTAACTACTTGTTATATATGGAGTTTTTGAAAAAGATATTTAAAATCTTAGACTTTTTTGCTTACGGAAATAAAAAAATGTTTGGAAGGTGCTACTTTTCTTATTTGGTAACGGAAAGAAGCTGGACTTAATTATCTTTATCTTTAATAGTCAAACTGTATATAGATCAATAAATTTTTTTGGTCAATCTGATATTGAAGTGATCAAAATATTGATTATGTCTCGCATTTGAATTTCTTTCTACATTGCTAGAAGCAAAAGTTTCCAACAAACGCCACTTCTAGCATATTCAATTGAAAAGAAATATATTTCAAGTAATACTATTTTTAATATCAAATATTTTCTGATAAATTAAAACAAAAGAATGAAAATTGTTCACTTTAAAATACTTGAAGGATTTTTTCTACTAAAATTGATACTTTAAGAATGTAATTTAAGTTAGGGTATAGTTGTGATCAAAAATTCAAAATTATTTTTTAGATATGTATAATAGATGTCGAACCCACTCCCACTAATTCATGTGTTTGCTTGTCAACCTCCTTATTTAAAATTCTGGCTTCGCCACCAATGACCCTTAGAATCTTTAGATTTAGTGGCAATGTGATAATTCTGAAAATAAAATGTTCAAACAGCTAAACACACAAAGGGTATTAGATATTTTATAAAGAATACATAGTTATTGCATGTTTATATGAAGCTCAATATATATTATAATCCTTCTCATTTAGTTTCGATTTTTGTGATAGTAATTTATCTAGTAATCATATATCCTAAACAAATCAAGCTATATACTATGCATGTTAGTTTTTCATAACAAATAAGTTCTCGTCAAGATAGATTGATAATACTCTACGTCCTCCAAATCGACCACTCCAAGACTCATATCCTGTCACAAAAAATTACAATATGATGAATCAAATATCGATAAAAAGAATAAATTATAATAACTTTTAGGGGTACGATATAAAATTGAATAATTAATTAAACTTACTCAGAACAATTGACGTTTGGGACGATAGGGAAGGGCAAGAGGACTCCACAACGTCCAGAAATTGATATAGATACTTTATCGTCGATGTTCAAATCTTGCATTTCAGATTTAAAACATTCACAGATTGCTAATTCTGCTTCACGGTTTACTCCCATGCCATTAAGCCTAAACATTTCATTGCAACAAGTCTTTGGAACAACGCCAGTACTTTTGTACCCAATTGACATCCAATCTATGCAAGGTTTAATACGTTGAGCTATTTCTTTGCACTTAACTGCACCATCCGATGAATATGGCCGCGATAACAACAACGAAATAATTACAATAACAACAAGAGAAAATGTCGATGATGATAGCCTCATTGTGAAGTTTCGATCGAGATTCAAAGTAATTTGTTTGTTTTTTTTTTGAAAAATAATAATAGTAACGATTTGGGAAAAAGTTTTTTTGTTTTTGTTTTTGTGCCAAACTTGATTTTCTATTGATAAAGTTGTATGTGAAGTTCGTACGTATTTTTGGGAGGGTCATAAATAATTGATTCTCCGCACAAAAAGACTCTTTAGAGGCTACTAATTTAAATATTGCTAGGAGCCAATTTTAAGTTCATTTGATTATTTTTTTTCTGGATTTTGACATTTAACGGATGGATTTTTTAAAATATTTTTTGTAGTGCAAAAAAGACACATGTTAAACCTATAGTAGTGCGGTTAAATTATAATAACATGATACTGCTTTTTATTTCATCTTCATCATCATTCGGGTTTCGGCCTTTGGAAAGTTTTGTTGATTTTCCGGTACCATTGTGGGCCAGTGGTGGTAACTCCGCTTCAGAGGCTGAGACTGGTTCATGACCGTCGATCGAATTCATGCTAAAAGCAGAAATTTTTTACCATAAAATGGTTATGGGTGAATTGGGGGTTATGTGGAGAGAGAAGGGAAGGAGGAGGAGTCACGTGGATGACGCTAAAGCATGT